ACAGTAAATAGTAATTGTAGATTTGTTCGTTAAAGTGGTGTTTTATTTTCAGAAACAATACAAATCAATTACTGTTTCATGTAACTTCAAAGGTGCAGAAAAATGATCAAATGGTAATACCTGAAACTACAAAATCTGTCACCGAAACAGAAATCGAGCAATTCTGTTACGAAATACAGTACTTTACACCGCCCCAGGAAGATAATTAAATAATTTACAGCTTATTATTATATAACTTTGCTAATTTATTATAATATTAGAAACAAAAGTTTGAATATTTATTACATTTTATCATTTGTTCAAAGTAGAATAGTTTGTTTCCTACGGTTTTTCTGATTTTATTACACATATTGTTGATAAATCAATAAATTAGTGCAAATAATTCTTCATGTTTTAAAATCCTTTAAAATAAAATTAGTTATATTACTTCTGCCTTCTGTTACACATCTGTCAAAATGTGTTATGTACGTATGTACCTATTCAAGGCACTCAAAAGTTTCGGACATGCGTTTTTAGGCAGAAGGGATGACACTAAAGAAATATCCATATAACTTGCATAGACGCGTAAGCGTATGCATAAAAAATTTTATTGGTCCGTTGGCATATGTATAAGACAGTGAACCAATCCATTTCTTCATGTATATGCTTATGCGCTTTTACAACTCTGGATATATCCTAAAGATTGCCATAACCTATTAAGCCGTTCGAAAACGTGAAATAACATCAGCATTTAAAATGATTATGTCTAAGCATAATTGATAATTTATAATTGATAATTATATATAATTGATAATTATATATAATTGATAATTAATAATTGATAATTATATAAAGTTAACGAAATAGTTGAATAATTTGCGATACTGATGAAGTAGGTATATTTTTTTCAGTGTATTACAGTTAATATTTAAAGTTGTCAGACACAATGAGTGTATTTAAACTGTATCATTTGATAGTACAATTAGTTGAAGTATTAGAGTAAGTATCACAAATCATATTGTATATATTGTAACATTTAATTGCTGAAATCATATAAGTATAAATGGATCTATGAATATACATGGTATATTCTATATCATATATTTTTATAAATAAATATTTTCTCCAGTTCGGAGTTTGCTCCAGAAAGACACTTGGAAAAACTTCAGAAAGAAAACTCGACAGTCAATGCATTAAATACTGTTGCTCCTCACAGTTGCATTCAGTATCTTGCAAAAATTTTACTTCAACCAGAATTATTTCTACAGAAATATGAGAAACTAAATTCGAAAAAGTTAGTGTGGCTAATATAATATAAAATATACATATTTTTTTTAATAATTTACATTGAATTGTTGAAAAATAACAAAAAATATATTTTTTTAGAGTAGATTTGTTAGGTCCGTTCGTTTGTACAAACTTTAGAGTTGATATCTCAAGATGAAGAATTGAAGAAGTACCTGTTAAGAAAGTCCACCTCAGAATTGAAAATTAGTGTTCTAAGAGATCCAACTATTACACAAGAAAGTTTAGTCAATAAAAATGATGGTGCCTTAATGAAGCATAATTGGGTAACGGAGCGTCCACGTATAACCTGAGATTTTTATAGTGATGTGAGTGTAACACTTTTCCAAAGTATGTAATTAATTCTACAAAATTCCTAGGAAACAATAAAGTATGCATATCTAATATACTTAAATAATTACAGAGGTTGTACCAGTTCAGACTTTATACTTCTGTGGGCTATTTTATATTGTTTGAAAGGGATAGATGGATCATATATTGTTTCAGAACTTTTATCAAATTTTTATGGCGTCAAAATTTTTAATATATTATCAGATATTGGTAAGGAATACATTAAAATTGTTAATTAAATATAAATGCATTTAAAAAAGATTAATGATAAAACATTGTATTTTGTTTTTAGG